AAAAAAAAAAAAAAAAAAAAAGTTAAAAATTTCCTAGACACCCTTATCAGTGTAGGGAGTGTCTGGGGCAGGGAAGGGTGTGGTGAAAGGCACTCGGGGTATTCTTTCTGGCCTGGAGGGGAGCCCTCCAGCTCCCATCCCCTCTGCCATTTTCCAGGAGACGCTGGTAAGCCTGGCAGGGCTCCTGGTCAGCCTCCTGATGCTTCCCCTGGTGTCAGATTGCCCTAGGTAAGCTGGGACCAAGGGCAGGGAGGAGGCGCCCCGCTGGGCCTCTGCTCCCGTTGACCGCCTCACCCTCTGCCATCCCAGCTTAAGCCTTGGCTGCTTCTTCTTCCTCACTGCCCTCCACATCTATGCCAACTACCGGGCAGTCCGGGCCCTTGTCATAGAGACCTTGAACGAAGGCCGGCTCTGGCTGGTCCTGAAGCACTTCCTTCAGCGGGGAGAGGTACTTGGCCCCGCTTCAGCCAATCAGATGGAGCCGCTGTGGACAGGTGAGCCAGCCCCTCGGTTTCAAGTTTCCTATGTCTCCCCCTGCCTGGGCCTCCTGACTCCAGCTTCCCACAGGTTTCTGGCCGTCTCTGTCTCTATCCCTGGGGGTCCCCCTACACCGTGTGACTTCCAGGTGAGTGGCCCAGCGTCTCCCATCCATCACCACGGTCACCCCCTCCCCACTCGAACTCCCTGTCCTGATCATACACTGGCCTCCCCCAACCAAGCCCCACCTCTCTGGTTCTCTATTTCCACCGGACAGACTTGGGGATCAGTGTGGGTGCTTGAGGGCAGCAGGTGTATAACATGAAGTAGATATAAGGGATCTTATATTTGTTGGACGCAGGAAGAAAGGAAGGGTTGATGTCGGGGAGGGGTAACGGCTGAGGGATGGATGGCAAGGAGGTGCAGGACAGTTAGGGTTAACAGTCAGGTGGTTCTGCAGTTGACTGGGTGGGGTCACTGCTGCCTTTGTCTTCTCCCGCACTGCACGCTCTTCTCTCCTTCAGTGTCTTTGAGCTGCAAAAGCTGGTTGAGGGGCACCAAGAACCCTACCTCCTTCGCTGGGACCGGTCACAAAGTAAGTGTGCCGCGTTCCCCCAGCTTCAGACTCACCTCCCGGGCTCAGCCTCTCATTCCTCCAGCCCCAGAGCCCCAAGCCCTGGACACGTGCTGGACAGTTTGGAGTCTGCCTAGTGTCCTGAAGGGAGCTCTAGACTAAGATTGGATGCATTCAGCTTATAGCTACATGCCCCTTTACTACTCTGTAAAATGGCGCTAACAATACCTGCCTTATTAGCTGCAGGGTTTTTATGAGGATCGAATAAGGTGACTATGTAAAAGCACTTTGTACATTGCAGCACAAATTAAGACCTTTGGTTATCCCTGAGGAACCACTTTCCTCTCCTATCTGGGGCCACCTCTTGAGGAAACATGTACTAAAGTTTACTGGTCTGCTGGTCGTGTGTTAAAAGCTGCTTATTCTCACTAGCCATTAAAGACGTGCAAAATAAACCCACCTCAGGGAGCTGCTCTGAAGTTGTATCTTGGAAATTACTTGGCCGGAGCACTGGGGAGCAACATGAGATGAAGTTGGAAAGGAAAGGGTGAGAGATGGCCTTTCATGCCAGGCCAAGGCCTTTGGGCCAGACAGGGATGAAGCAGGCTGGTAGGCCTGAGAGTGTTTGGGGACGTGGCCCTTCCCTGGTACCAGTCTGTCCCTGGGTCTCTCCAGACCAGGTACAGGTTGTCCTGAGCCAGATGGCAGGCCCTGAGGCCATTCTAAGGGCTGCCACTCACGGACTGGTGCTTGGAGCCCTGCAGGGAGACGGACCCCTCCCAGGAGAGCTGGAGGGACTGAGGAACCGACTACGGGCTGGTAAGCGCCTCACAATCTAGGCTGCTTCTGACTCAAAGCCGGGTGGAGAGAAGGACCCTGTTTGGCTTGGGGAACCCAAGAGCTCCTGTTTCTTCACCCCCTCCAGGCCCTGAGAAAGAGAGCTGCGTCGTCGTCAGGGAGACGCACCAAGTGTTGGACAAGCTATTTCCAAAGTTCTTGAAAGGTAATATCCTTCTGCTTCATGGCTCCTAGGCCTTCTCCCAGAGGCCCTGCCTACCCCCATCCCCACCCCTTCACCTAGAGGGTGGAAGACCTGGGTTTCTCTCTGTGATCTCAAGTCTGGACCTCAGTTTCCCTGTCTGCAGGAGGGGGAGGTTAGGATGATCTCTGAGGCGCTTTCAGTGTTGACAGACTATGGAATCCCAGTTGACATTGGAGAATGGTGGGCGGGGGGCGGGGTAAGGCTCACAAATTACTGATGATGCTCTTTCATTTAGCACCTAACTCCATTCTGGTCCTGTTCCATGTGCTGCTCAATGAATTCTTGCTGCAACCAGATGAGGTTTTAGGCTCATTTTATGCCAGAGATTACCCAGCAGAGGCAAGGGGAACCTGAGCAGTACACCCAGCCCGTGTTGCTCCTTCCCCCTCCCCAGGGTCAGCCCAGCGTCTCCTCCCCAGCAGTATCCCTATGCCCTCTCCCCAGGACTGCAGGATGCGGGCTGGAGGACTGAGAATCACCAGCTAGAGGTGGATGAATGGAGGGCCACATGGCTCCTGTGTCCAGAAAAGAAGCTCTTGTGAGCAGCCCAGCCAGGGGCCCAGGTCCCAGGACAGGAGCCTGGAGCAAGGACACTTTGGCCATAGCAGGACCTGGGAAAGGCAGCTTTATTTTTGCTTAGGGGCACCAATGTGGCCAGTTGGCCAAGGAAGTGACTACCAATCAGATGGACTGGGCCTCAGGCAGAGACAAGGTGGAGAGAAGGGGTACCAGGGCCTTCACCCACACTCTCCTGCCGCAGGCCCTTCTCACCACTGCAGGCTCCCCACCCCTGCTTGCTGCAAAGCTGTGGCTCATGGCGCCCGACACAGTTGACCTCAGGCATAAAAGCCCCAGAGGAACGTGGCCACGGCCATCATGAGCAGGGCATTGAGGTTGACGACTCGGGCCCAGCTTGGGTCCTCACTGATGTCCTCCAGTCGCCTGGCTGTGGCAGCCATCTCCTCCTGGGTAGGGCGTGGGGGACTGCCTGCCCGACCCCTGCTCATTCCACAGAACCAGAGCAGGCACTGGCGGAACAGGCCTGGTGCTGGGGACGGGGGCTCTGGGAGAAATTGCAGCCATATAGTTAGTCTGTTCCCCCAGCTCCCCCACCCCAACTCCCCGGGCAGTGCCTTACCCTCCATCTCCACCGCATGCTCAGGGCACCCGTTCTGTACAGGGGCTGAGGTTGGACCTTCTAGCTCCTCAGCATCCAGGTCCTCGCGCTCCTCCTTGCTGTACCGGAGACTGAAAACCAGGCGGTGGAGCTGGGGAAGGGTGGGAGCAGGGACCAAGTGAGAGTGCCGTTCCCCCACCCAGAACCTGGAGGTCCCCCGTCCACGCCGGCACTCCCTCACCTCCCTCTGTCCAGCCTGCACACCCGCCCAGGCTCACTCCTGGATGACCTTCCATGGCTGCCCTTTGCCCTCAGGCTAAACCCAAGCTCCTCAGCTGGGTGTTTAAAGCTCTTGGCCCTGCTCAGCCCTCTGGTTCATCACCCTGTCTACACTCACGATTATAGTACTTCAGTCTTACAGCCCTGCTAGCAGTGTTCCTTCCTGTGGGTGTTTGCTCACAGGGTTCCCTCCTGCTGCCTTTCCCCTTCTCCACCTGTGGGGTCCTGCCCATCCTTCTGGGCCCACTTCTTTTGTCCTCCCCCCAATCAGCTCTGCCCTGGGGCACCTGCCTTGCCACAGCACAAGACCAAACCCTTTTGGGGCTTTCAGGGTAGCACTCTGTCCCTCTCCGCCACCAATCAGGCCAAGACTCGGGGGGGCTTTAACCTCCCCCACAGTCTTCTTCAAGCCACCTCCAAAGCACCTCAAATAAATGTGATTTAAATAAAAACATTGTACTTGCTTTGCAAATGAAGCTTCGGACTGGACTCTCAGCCTGCCCTCACCAAGCCTCGGTATAGAAATTCAGGTGCTACCCACTGGGAGTTCTGGGAAGCAGGCTGGCCGACTGCTGGTGGAGAGGGCCCGCAGCGCCCCACGTTTGTTGCCCGGGCCAGAGGCCTGCACTTACGTGCTTGCGCGGGAGGGGCGGTGTGCACAGCGAGACCACGAGGGTGAGGAGGCCGGAGCAGACGAAGAGCACGATGGCGAAGTAGAGGTAGTGCACGCGGCAGAGGAGCGCGGGGCACGGCGAGGGGCGCACGCAGCTGCGCGAGCCGAAGGAGAACTCGGGAACCAGCCGCGCCAGGCCCATCAGCAGACCCCCGATCAGCCCCCAGAAGGCGCCCTGCGGGGCCCGAGAGCGCGTCAGCTTCTGGTTTCCAAGTCTGGCCCCGAGCTCCCAATGAGCGCACTCACCTTCTCATTGACGCGGGGCACGAAGAGCGCCAGCACGAAGACGGCCGACACCGGCGGCGCCAGGTAGCTGGAGACCGACTGGATGTAATCAAAGAGCTGCCCGCCCTGCGCCGCCTGCACCACGGGAAGCCAGGCCACCGACACGGCCACGATGAACACCACCCAGAGCCTGCGGTGGACGGCCATCAGGTGGTTTCACCCAGGACCCCATCTCCCCCTGTCCCTACGAGTGCTGCCTGCCCCCACCCGGGGCTGATTCGTGGGGCAGGAGATGGAAAACCCAGGCCCACCGTCCTACTAGCAGCAACTCGCGGTCGCCCGCGCGGGGCCGCAGGCGCGTGTAGATGTCCATGGTGAAAAGCGTGCTGCTGCTGTTAAAGATCGAGGCCAGCGAGGACATGAGCGCGGCCAGCATGACCGCCAGCATGAGTCCGCGCAGACCTGCGGGCCGACGGAGCCGTGAGTCTGGGGCCACGAGGGGGTCCCGGGAGGGTGCGGGCTGGGCGAGGGGTGACTCCTCCCACTGGCGCCTGTGGGCAGCGGGGCAACCCGGGGGCCCGCCCTCACCGTTGGGCATGAGCTTCACGACGAGCCGCGGGTAGGCGATGTTGGAGCACCCCACCTCGGTGCCACACACGCGCTTACACACCTCTGGCACCACGCACGCCACCTCGTCTGCGGGAAAGGGCACGACGCGGCTATGGCGGCACCGGGTCTGAACCTTCGGATCCCAGAAGTGGGGACGGGGAATCCCAGTGGAGGAGAGATGGGCCCCCCGGGTGGGAGGTGGGACTGGGTGGCCCAGATCTTAGGACGGGAACGGAAATGGGAGACAGGCACCTGTATCCTTGCACAAGAAAGGGGCTGGGTGGGGCACAGGACTCTCGGTCGGGGCGGGGTTGCAGACGTTACCCGGGTAAAGAATGCGGCTGATCATGCCCGGCATGACCATGAGGAACATGGGCATCAGCTTCAAGTAGCCGCACAGGATGCAGCCCGCCTTGATGTGGGTCAGATTTTTCCCAGCCAGACAGCGCTGCACTATGACCTGCGACGAGGGGCGTTCAGCTACCTGCGTTCAGTCCCGGGTACCCCGCCCCTCCCGCCTTGCCTCAACTCGCCGCTCTAATCCAGACCCCGCGGCTGGCCCATCGAAGCGGGCAATTCAGCTCCAAGCGCAGACCCTGACTCGGATCCGGCTCCATCTGGTTTAGCTCTAACTGGCGGGCTTCCCGCTCCCTCGGACCACGCCTTCCACCTGGCTTCCCAGATGAGTTCAGGCTCCACTCATCTCAGCTCCGCCCACCGCGGTTCCAGTTCTGCCCCAGCCTCGCTCGCCGCGCAGGCCCTGACTCCTAACCTGGTCGCTGCACCAGTACCAGCTTGAGACAATGGTAAGCCCCAGAAGCAGCGCAGGCCACGGCAGGTCCCCCGTCACAGGGTCCCGGAGCAGATGGTAGGAGTCGGGCCGGGGTCGATAGCAGGAGCTGGAGATGTTGCCCACCGCCGGATCCTCGGACACCGTCAGGGACGTCATTGCCCCCAGGTATTTGTCGAAAAGCCCCGAATACCCGCCCACCTCGTGGAAGGCTGTGAGGGCAAAGCAGTTAGGGGACATGGTGCCCGCGAGAAGGCCCTCCCTAGGACCCCCATGCCGCAGACGCGCGATGTTCCTGCTCCCAGGTGGAGAGATCTGCGAACTGTGACCTCTGCGCCCCTCCCCCATCGGCTGAGCCCGTACCGTAACCCATGAGGACGAAGGCCCCCGCGAGAATGACGAAGGTCTGCACCGTATCCGTGTACATCAGCGCTGCCAGCCCTCCTGCAATGGCCTGGGTCAGTGGAGACAGCCCAGACAGGCTGCCACTAGTACATACAGTGTCTTTGTGCGAATTGGAAAAGGGCTCCCCTTTCCTGGAGGGCAAATTTCAAAAGGATGGCCCATTCCCTGGGCTCACGCACTCCGGCATCAGGAGGCAGGGCTGCGTGAGCACAGTGGGGCTGAGTTTTAGGCTCCACTAATGCCAGGTGCCCACGTGCAGGACTTCCACTACAGGCCCTCCTCTCAGCCCCAGTTTTCTCTTCTGTGTGATAGGAGGAGGTGATTCTCTAAGGTCCGATTCTCATCCCATTCGAAGGGACAGGCCCCTCAAGCCGGCCTTGGTACCAGGCCCCACCCACGCTGCTCCAGCGTCAGGCCTCGGGCACCACCCCAGAATCCTCCAACCTGCACTGGGTTTGGTGAGCTTTGGAGTCTGGCCAAGTCGGCTCTCCCTTCCCAGGTGTTCAAGAGCTGTTAAATCTTCCTTTTTGCCCAGGCCCAGGACGGGCTCAGATCTCTGAACTTCCAGACCAAATCCAAGGACTGTGGAGGGGGGAGTAGTTTGCTTTCCAGAGATTTATGTCCTTCTCCTGCTTGGATCACATCACACTTAAGAACTTCTCCAGCCCGCTCTCCTTTGGTGACTCCCCTAAGCCCCACCCACAGATCCACGCTCCCTTCCCTAAGCCCCTGCCACCTGTCACAGTGTAGATCATGGTGATGCCCAGAAGCGCGATGACGGAGGCATAGATGTTCCAGCCCAGAGCCTGTTGAATGAATACTGCCCCGGAGAACATGTCCACCTTGTGGGGAGGAGCAAGTGCGCAGGTCAGGACCCAGGGGCCAGGGTGGGAACCCAGGTCCACTTCCTACCCAGATCACGACCCTACGTGGCCACACCTCAAAGGTTCCCTCGTTTTTTGATGCCCTGGTCTTCCCAGATACCTCTCACTATGGTTGTCGCCCCAGAAGCCTATTTCTCCCAGGCCCTAGTTCTTACAGCCATTGCTCTTCAGTCCCGCCCCGTCCAGGGCTTTCCAGAGACCTCCACTGGGTGATCCCACCCTACCAGGGTCCCGACCAGCTCCCCGCACGTGCGCACCGAAATCTTGGTGAAGATGTACAGAAAAAGCGAGAGCACAGACAAGTAGAGGCGGATTCGACGGCCGCCAAAGCGCTTGCGCAGGTACTGTGGCATCGTAATGACGCCCGCGGTCAGGTACACGGGCACGAAGAGCCAGCCAAGTAGCAGCACCACAAACAGCGCCTGCGGGCACAGCGTGACAGCTGAGGGTCACTCCCTGTGGGAGATCCCGCCATGAGTGCGTCCTCGCCTGATGGGTCTGAGGAACCTTCTCTTGGTGAAAAGTGCTACACTCCAAGGCAAGGTTGCAGGGGGGGCCCAGAGGACACAGATGCAGATGTCCCTGGGCCCTGGTCATTAGGGACAAGGTCTTGATACTTCGTTGGGCCCTTAACTAGAGCCTTTCTTGCCCTGCCAGGCCGTGACCCCTGGCCATCCCTCCCAAGATGATCCCTATCCTCCTCGTCCCCCCCAACACACACACACCTGAATCCAAGCACAGAACCCTCAGGCTGACCCCCAACTTCTGCCTTCCCTCTCCTCTCCACCCACCCAAACCTTCTGTCCCTCAAGGCTCGGCTCAGAGGCCGCCTCCTCCAGGAAGCCCTGAGCTCAAAGCCCTGATTTTCCCCACCCTCCGAGGCGAGCCTCAGTCCCAGAACTTCGTCCCCTGCCCACTTCTGCAAGGGGCTTTCATTTAGCCTAGTGAACCTCACAGGCCACAGATTCAGAGAGCATCAGAAGAAGCACTTCACTATCCTTGAGACTGTTCATCCCACTTCAGAGAGGAGTAAAACCAAGGCCACAGAGGGCGTGGCTGGTCCAGGCTCACATAGCAATAGCGAGTCAGGAGCAGGGCCTACCCCTGCCCTGAACGTGGTATCTCCCACATGCCTCTGCCTCCAAGCTGGCTGCGTGAGCCTCCCTCGAAGCCCACCCCCACCTCACAGCTGGGAAGTCCCACCTCTGGTCTCACATCCCCACCTCTCCCGCCTGGAGCCTCTCCAGGTGTGACCCTTCCAGGGGTTCCCACGGGGAGGTGGGGGTTATTGGCAAAACAGGGCGCTCACATTCCACTCAAATCCAGCCACAGCCAGGCCGCTTGCCGCTCCCGTCCCTGCCAGGCCCACGAAGTGGCCACTGCCGATGTTGCTGGCAAAGAGAGAGGCCCCGACCTGGGTGGCCAGAGGTTGGGGTGAGCCAGGCTGCTTCCTTAGGCCTCCGCCCGCTCCATAGCCCAGTCTCTCTCACCGGCCACCACGCCATGCTTCGTCCCGCCAGGAAGTAGCCGCCAACGGTGCCTCTGTTGGTTCTGCACATGGACTGGGGGACGGGAGTGGGGAGAGGCCTGGGTTTGGGGCACATCTTTGGACCTCATTAGCCTCCTCAACACATTCCTCAGCCTTGTTTCAAGCTGAAGATTAACCAGCGCACGGCTCCCCTGACGGTTCATACCTGCACCCCCAGCCTCCTCCCAGGCACCCAGATCTACCCAGACCCTAAGCTAGGGTCCGGTTCCCCAAGCCTGAGTGTGGCTGCATTCGGCCGCACTTTCCTGGGGGCCCTGGATTTGGGTTTCTGGTCAGCCAGCCATTATGTAGAAGAGATCTCATTTAGAATGCTGTCCCGATGAAGATCCACCAACCGCTCAACTAGTCCAATCGAAAGGTGGACAGACAAGGCATGCATGAGTGTGGGCTGGGCCACCCTGGGGCTAGCAAAAGACTTACTTGCCCCCCACCCCAGGTTTCTCCCTCAAAGATCCAGGCATCCTTCCCCTACCACACATCGGGACTGTCTGAGACTTTTCCCCCAGGCTCCAAAAGCGGGCCCCCAGCAGCATCCCCCAACTTCTCACCCACAAGCCGACACCAATGACCAGCAGGAAATAAGCCGCAATGACCAGGATGTCGGCAGGGTTGTCAATTAGTGCCCTCTGTTCCCCCAGCCCTGGTGCTGAGCCTGGCTCTGTGCGTTCCTCCATTCTGCCCAGGATCTGCCCCTCAGGGCACCAGCCCCTGGATTCCCCCCAGGGAAGGATTAATGGTTACCCCTGGGGCAATGAGCCGACAAGTCCCCCCTCCCTGGCTTTGTTTAGCTGAATCAGTTCTCATCGAGGCTGCAGGCTGGTCCTGCGGAGCTGGACACTTTCAAATTCAAGAGCACTCCCCTTCCTGGGCCTTAGCCCCCACCCCTTCCCCAGAGCTCCAGGCTCAAAATCACTTCTTTCACCTGCTAAAAATACCTACCCCTCAGCTTTGACCTAGGGATCCCGGCTGAGCCAGCCCCCTGATTCTGACTAACCCAGAGGGATCATTTTCAAACCCAAATCTGACAGTGTCACTCCCCTGCTTAGGAAGCCTCCATAGCTCCCCATCACACCCAGGAGGAGGCAGCAGCTTCTCAGCCTGATGCCCCGACCCCTGCCCACCCTTCCCCTTACTCCTCCATACCAAACTCAGAGTGAAATCATATTTCCTTCCCATTCCCTTGCCCAACCCAGCCCCTGTATTCTCATACCCCCAAACTTTTGTATAAGCTGTGCCTGCTGCCTGGAATGCCTCCCTGCCTCTCAAATGGTCAGCTCCTACTTAGCCTTTAGTGCCCAGCCCATGGCATCTCTTTGGGAAAAACTTCTTGGACTTTGCTGACACAGTTCTGAGCACATTGCATGGACCTTGCCTGGGTCCAGGTCTGTCTCCCCAGTTGACCAAAGACTTCTCAAGAGCAGGAAATGATCTGATTCATCCCTGGAGTCCCACTGCTCAGCACAGGGCTGGATGCAAGAAGGGAGAGGCTGGATAAATATCCATACCTCTGCCTTTCTAGAAGAACTGACCAGACTTGGATGTCTGATTATGGGAACTGGGTTCATGCTGGAGATGGGGAACGGAGAACAATATTTTAGGGGAATATGATGAGTTATTTAAGGAATGCCTTCATTTTGGTCCCTTCAAAAGCAGACTCTACGATGAGAATTGGGGTGCAAGGACTGTATTGGGGAGCCGATCCCAGTAAGGAGTGGGGAAGAGAGACAAAGGAGAAAAGCCAATAAAGCATGTGTTGATCGAAAGGTTACCACTGTGACAATCCCAGTGGGGACCCTCTGAGACACTGTGGAGAACTCACCTCAGAACTGACCCCCAAGGGGCCAGAAAGCTGGGGTATTCATTCACCAATCCCTGTCTCTAACTGACTGGAGGTTACGGAACCTCCCCCACCCACCCCAGGCCCTCCTCCAGAGAGCACCCTTAGACAGAAACTCAGGGAGCAGCTGGGGAGACTGAGTGTCTGGGAAGTGTCTGCATACGACTTCCCAGATGGGCCAGGTGGATATGGGCAGGGCACCCACAGTGTCTGCTTCAGTGGGTGATGAATTTGAAGGGCCTGGGAGAAATCCAGGGACAAGCATCAGAGGACACGTTGGGGTTATGGGCACGTAAAATCAAATCTATGTGCCCTCGCGGGAGCCTGCAAAGCCCTTCGTGATGTGGCACCTAGTTCCTCTTTGACCTCATCTCCAACTACTCTCTCCCTTGCTCACTCTAATCAACCACACTGGCCTTCTTTTCTTTCTTCCAATATGCCAAGCTCTTTCCTACCGCCTGGCCTTTGCATTTGCTGTTTCCTCTGCCTGGGATGCTCTCCTCAGGCTCTTTGCCTGGCTGCCTCTTTCCTCAACCTTCAAAGTCTCAATGTACATATTCACAGAGGCCTTCTCTGACAATCTGGTTCGAGTACTCCCTTCCCCACCTTCACTAACTTAGTTCTCTATTTTTTCCTTCTAGCCTTCGCTCCTTTCCTTCCTTCCTCATTCCTTCCTTCATTAGAGAACATTTATGGAGCACTTACCACATGCTAGACAGCATCCTAGACACTGGACAGATAACGGTCGGCAAAACAAACATGTCATCTGACAAACAAACTCCCAGGAGCTTGCCTTCATTTCAGAAATAAACAAGCAACAAACAAACACCTGTTTGCAATAGTGATAAGTGAGGGACTAGGGAGGTGCTGTGGGTGGAAACTAGAGGGAAGGGCCAGCTTCACCTAGGCCATCAAGGAAGTCCCCATTACTTCATCATGCTTGTCACTGTGTGTTTGTTTTTCCTCTGTCTCCCCTACTAGACTGTGAGGCCAAGGAACATGTTCCCTATGGTCTCCCCAGCACCTGGCATGGAGCCTAGGACAGCACGTGCTCAGTAAACAATTGGTAAATGAATGGCTCAAGACTTGGTGGTGGTTACAAGCCAAGGGATGGACAGCATTCTCCAGGGAGAATTTGTGGAAGAGGAAGAGCAGGAGGCCTAGAAAGACCCAGGCGGTGGAGCCTCAGAGAGGAAAGGATCTGGGGGTTCTGCCCGAGGCCAAGACAGAGAACCTCACCTTTGTCTCTTGCCCACACATGTTCTCCTTGGCTGTTAGCTCCTCCTTGAGCTGGAAGAGCCTCTGAGAATCCATTGTTTCCAGCCTCAAAGGTCCCTGTAGTTAGGACCCAGGAGTCCAGGCCCCCTCCCTAGGGAACTTCAGAGTCTAAGGTACCAGGCTTAGAAAGGCCTCTGGAGCTTAGGGATTCAGATGGAGCCTGAACTTCTCCATACTTAAGAACACCTGGCCCCACCCTTCTCTGCTGGGGCTAGGGTCAGGTGTCATCTCCTCCAGAAAGCCCTCCTTGACTTCCAATCTGAGTTAGAAGCCTCCTTCTGGCTCTTACAGCCCCCAGCGCTTCCCTCAGTCACTGCCCTGACCACCCCAAGTGTCATCCTCTGCCTAGCGGAGCTGTTATGAGTCAATACCCGTATGAGGGAAGCTGTAATTTAATGCCCAGATCCAAAGGGTGGGCATAAATTGGCACTTGAATGGAGCCCCATCTCTGAGGGTCTTTTAAGGAGGGGGAAAAATCTGGAAACCAGCCAAGGTGGCAAGGTGGAAGGGAGTGGGAGGGGTACAGATTAAGTGCTTATTTCGAGGATATAAGGAACTGAAGGATGGGGGGTTGGGGGCAGGAAGGTTTGGTGGCTCCTGCTTGAGCTCCCGTCCCGGCTCGTCACCGTCTGTACAATCCTGCGCAGGTGGCCAGCTTTTCCTGAGGCGCATCTGACAGGTGAAGGACAGCCTGCAAGGGCTGAGTCTGAAGGTTCGGCTCCCGCCACAGGGCGGTGGCCTAGAACGCATCACGCATCACGGCCCGAGGCAGTATAAGGGGCGGGGCGTCGCGACGCGAGGCACTCCCGCGCAGAGACACAGCACCTGTGTGACGTGGAATGTGTGTTTATGTAGGTAGAAAAAAGTGCACTGAGCAGTGAGGGGCGGGGAGAGGGACATCCTGGCCTGGCCTCGGATTCGTGGGAATTGCAAGGGCCCTCCTCCAGTCGGGGGGCTCCCTCAAGGCTGGGAATAAAGTGAAGGGCTCACGCGGGATCGCTTGCCAGTGTACAACCCACTTCGTGGGGCGCGTGGCCTTAGGATTGGCGGGGCTTTTTCTGAACTCGCCCATGGAGAACGTACAGTACCTTCGGGGCCGGTCCCTCCAGGGGGTGGGGCCTCACGGAGCTGGGCTGGGGGAGCCCCACGCTCTAAGAGCAAGGCCTTGGGGTCTGGAGAGCCCGGTCTTTTCGGGAAGGGCGAGGTTTTGGGGGCCGCCCTCTCCCAAAGGGGCGAGCCCGGCAGGTGGTCAGCCGAAGAGCTTGAGGAAGCAGGGCTGGCAGTAGGGCTTGCCCGCGCGCTCCTGGAAGGAGCCCTTGGTGAGCGGGCGCAGGCAGAAGGTGCAGGTGAAGTGGTCCGGATGGAAGCGGCGGCCCAGGGCCGACACGCATCGGCCGGTCACCGGGAGGCCACACGTGGCGCACAGCGACCCGCGCCGCGCGTGGAAATGGTTCTCGCACAGCGGACGGCCCTCGTGCTCAAAAAAGCTGCCTCCGGAGAAGGGCGCGAAGCATTCCTGGGGAAGGGCAACCGAGAAAGGATGGGTCAGCGCCGATGTCCAGACGAAATAACTTGCCTTACGAGCTGAATAACCCGGCCCCAGTCCCAAGACCCCCCCCGCAGCCCCTCGCACCGCCCTCAAAGGCGAAGCCTCGCCTCCCCAGGACCCTGCTCTGAATAATCGCCCCGCCCCAGGCTCCTAGTCCCGCCCCGCGCTGGCCTGTCCCTCTCAGGCCCCGCCCCCCAGCCACGCACCCTGCAGACAAAACAGTCTGGGTGCCAGAGTGCGCTGAGCGCCGAGATGTAGTTATCCAGAATGGGGCCTTGGCAGCCCTGGCAGCGCGGGGCGAAGAGCTGCAGGAAGTCTCGGCGGCAGTAGGGGCGGCCCTCCCGCTCGTGGAAACCTAGGAGCGGGAACCGAGTAGGAGGAAGGAAAAGTGCGCGGTGGCACCAGGAGCCCCACAAGATCTGAGGCTACGGGGCCAGGGGAGGCGGTAGGCGGAGAGGGGTGGGGTCTGGAGCGGGGGCAGAGCGGGAACGGATGGGATGGGAACACACGGGTGGGACAAGTTGGGGCCAGGAGCGAGCAGGAGAAAATTCGCGGCCCCGAGGACTTCGGAGGTCTTAGTGTGCTGGCCCAAAGAGAGGAGGGCGGGATGTCGAGCGGACCCGCGGCTTTCAAGGTGGGAGTCAAGCTCTCACCCTCATCTCCGAAGGGCTCCCCGCAACTGACGCAGCAGAAATGCTCCGGGTGCCAGTGGGTGCCCAAGGCAGTAACCATCTTCTGCGGGGAAGAAAAGGGAACACTCAGTGTGGCCCTCAATTTCTACTCCCCTCCCTCTTCCGCCCTGAACTTAGGTGAGTGGGTTAAAGTACGAGTGTAAGGTGTGGAAGACCTAAGCAGGAACTTGAGAATCAAAGAGGGAGGGCGAAGTCTAAAGGGCCGTGGACGAGAACGAGGGACAGGGCTGGGGTGGGCGTGGGGATGGGAGAAGTGTAAGTGGATGAGGCCCATCCCACAGGCGCCTTGGGTGAGACAGAGGCGGGGCTCACGTGTCGGATGGGTTGATTGCAGAGGCCACATCGTGGAGAGAAGCGCTCAAAGTAGCACTCGGGACAGAAGGGAGCTCCATCCTTCTCGAAGAAGCTGCTGCCTCCCAGGGCTGTGGAACAGCCACCGCAAACGAAGTGCTCAGGGTGCCAAGCACGGCCGAGCGCCGTCACCACCTGTGAGTTGGGGGGTGAGGCCTGGGTCAGAGTGGCCCTCGGGCTGCCATGTGCCCCGTAAGTCAAGGTTTACGTAGCACTTTTCGAATCTTATCTCTGAGCAGTCAGGATGAAGAATCTAACGTTCAAGTCACTCAGTCTGTAAGTGATGGAGACTCGACCCGTCTTCCAGCACAGTGCCTAGGGCCCAGCATACTTTAGGAACCCACAAAAAATGTTGTAGTTTCTTTTAAAATTAGAAGAAAAAATGAGCTAGGAGGAGAATGACTTCATATATGATACTAATATATTCATCTTTATACCAACACAGTCATAAAATGCAATTTTTAATATATTTTATTAATGGAAGAAGGGGCCCATGAAGGTGAAAGTGCTTAGGGCCCACGAAAGTCGTAATGCCACCCTGCTTTGCTGAGATTGGAAATTCTAGGATGGTGGTAGGGCGCTTTATCTAGCAGGAGGAACTAGGTCAACCACTGGGCACCGTTGCCAGTAACATCTGCTCAGTAATAAGCCAAGGACCGGAGCTCCCGAACCAGACTGGTGGGTGGAGCCAATGAGGCTTTTGTGGAGATTAACTGAGATGGGGGTTTGTAAAGGAGCTAGCGTAGAGCCTGGCACACAGTAGGACCAGAATAAATAATAACTGGATTGGAATTCTTACTCTGCCACATACTTGCTGTGTGACTTGGAGCTTCAGTTTCCTCATCCGTAAAATATGAACAACAATAATACCCACTGGCTCTCAGTAAAGATGGGTCTGTGGGTCTCTACTCCCTTATTCGCAGGGCTCCACTTACTTGCCCAGCAATGGGTTTATTGCAGGAGCCACAGAGGCCCTTGGCTTGGGTGGGAACGCCTCGGCGGCTGAGGTCAGACTGAAGCAGCCCCAGCATGGTGTCTAGGCTGCCTTTGCCAGCGGACCCTGGTGGGGAGGGGGAGCCCTCATTCACGGAGCTTGGCACTGGTGGCTGGGTTGGCCCAGAGGCCGGAAGCTGCAGCAGAGAGGACAGGAGAGTTGAGTCAGCAAGGCAGCAGATGTGGGAGGGTCTAAAATGGGTTGAGAGCCACAAATCCACACTGGCCCACCCCTCACTCCCTGAGTGACTCACATGATTCTGGACACGGAAGTCAGAGAGTGAGGCCATCAGCCTATCTAGCTCCAGGGTGGCTGAGGTGGCCGAAGGCTTTGAGAGAACAGGGGATGGACTGGGAGGGCTGTGAAGAACACAACTTGTGTCAGCTTAGAGCCCCAGAGTAACGCTTCCTCCTGTAACTCAGGCATCCAGGACTGATCACCCCTCTCCCAGCCCTGCCAACTATGCCAAACTCACAGGCTGGGCCTTTTCTTGTCCTCAGATTGGTCCTCCTTCTGCTCCCCTGCAGTCTCCTTGCTAGATGGGAACTGAGACATTATTTCATCTGCAGAGAGGATAGAAGGGCACTGGACATGGGGCCATGCTCTAGCCTCCTTCCCAGTTAAGGTTTGTATCCCTTTAGCTGCTACTCTGGGAAGTCTATACCCACTTAGTGTCTGCCCTGCCCTGCCCCCCCATCCCATCAAGCCCTGCCCCAGTTACCCTGGTACCTGTGATGTTGAACTGAGTAGCGTTAAGTTCCTGAAGCAACCGGTCTAGCTCACAGAGACCCGTGCCCAAGACACCACAGGAAGAGGAGAATGGAGGGGCTGCAGGGGCCGCAGGCTTCGGGGACCGAGGCTTGCATACCGTGCTGGGAAACAGGGTGGGGGCCTGGGTTCAGGGGTGGGGAATACAAGCCTGAGTCTCAATGGGCTCCCCCATCCCCCAGTACCCAGCCCCCTCACCTGTACAGGTGATCCTTGTCCCCAGAGGCTCCTGAAGATTCCCCAGACCCCATCTATAGAGAAAGACATACGTGTGGGATGATAGGCCTGTACTTGCCTGTACGGTACCGTACCCACTCAGGCCTAGATTCCCTTTGCCCCTGCCAAACCTGGCCCTAGGGGTTGCCGCAGTCCCCAGCATCTGATCTCACCTGTGTCAGAGGAGACGTGAGGGGCTCTGGGGGCCGCTCTTTTAGAACCCCTGACCGTGGCATGTGAGAGGTTGTGGTCTCCAGGTCAGAGAGCAGGGCATCTGCAGGGAGAGGCCGTCAGGGTGAGAGGTTGGGAGGTCAAGGTTAAGGCAGAGACAGGGCCTTAAGAGATCAGAGAACAAGTGTTCTAAGTGGGCAGTGTTTGAGGAGGACGGAAGCCAGTATTAGGAGCAGAGGTCAAGACTCAGAAGAAACACAAAGCCAGACCAAGGCAGAGATGTGGAAGGGCAGCAAGGACTATTTATGATCAGAACATCCCACGTGGCTCATCCTGAGATTCATATACAAATTCAGCTACCTGATTCTTTTATTCTCCGAATCTTCCGTAATGCAGTCAAAAGCGGCTTTTTACTGGATCCAAATTTGGCTTCCCCCCAAATTGCTCAATTGGCTGTATGCCTGACACCAGCTTTCTGATTGGATGCTCTTTCTGCCACACCCCCTACACCTAAAGAGACCCCTCCCAGCCCTGGCCTACCTCCAGACGCCACTGGGCTCCACCCTATGCACCTCATTGGTGAGCCCGCTGGGACCTGCTTTCTGATTGGCTTATTCTTCACCGTACCAGTGCGCGTTACCCCAGCTGAGCAGCACCCCCTACTGCAGGGTGCTGGAACCTTTTCTCTCCCACGAAGGGCACAGCCTTCCAGCCCCAGTTCTAACAGACAGGGAGGATGAGATGCCTGGGTGCTCCTTCCTGCCCCAAGACCGACAGACAGACAGACAGACAGACACACACACACACACACACACACACACACACACACACACACGCCGCCCCCTCCCCTGCCCCCCAGGCCTGCATCCCCAGATCTGAATCCTTTGAACTCATTACCTTCCAGAATCTAGAAGTCCCTGACCCTTTACTCTGCATCTCTGAGCGCCTTGGTGGAACACTTAACCTCTCCCTGGCATCTTGGCACTCATCTATTATACTTTCTGCCCCAAGGACCTGACCCCTACCATACTTAAGGGCCCTTAACTCTTTCCTTCCCAAAACCCTAGGGCAAGCCCATTTTCTTCTCCAGAACTTGATGTCATATTCTCCCTTCCCGTCTACTTTCCCAGTCCCTAGACCCAAGGTGCCTTTAACTCCTCCCTTCCCAGAGCTCCTGAGCCCAGACGCCAACAGGCGCTGCGCCTCCCTGCCCATCCGTCCGTCCGCAGCCAGTGATGGAGGAGTGGAGCGAGGGAAGAAGGGAGGGAGCAGCCAGTCTGGCAAAGGCAGGAAGGGAGAGGCAGGAAGGGGGACGTGGAGTCGGAAAGGAGGCGCCGGCAGAGACCAGAAGCGAGAAGACAGGAGGCAGGGATGGAGAGATGCCGGGAGTGCGAGGGGGCGCCAGGATGGGGAAGCGGGTCCAGGCGGTGGGGAGGGACTGGGGACAAGGGGACCCGGGCCCCACTCACCCAGGTCCTCCATGACGGGGCGCGGGCAGACCGCGCGGGGCGAGCAGGGCGGGGGCCGTGTCCGGTGGGGGCGGGGGGCGGGGGGGCGC